TGGCATTTGGAAAGACACAAATGCCCTTCAAGTGTCATCTAATTTTCTTTATCAGCTATCTAAACATTAACAAAAAATAAACAGTCCCAAATCTTTGCCTCTTCTATTCAAGAAAGTTAGGTTCACCCAAATGGCCATTGAGACGTAACCCCAACTTTCTTGAATAGAAGAGAAAAGGATTTGGGACTGTTCATTTTTTGTCAACATTCAGGGAGATGAACTCCGAAGCTCAGCTCGACACCTCGGTGAGCTACACGTCTGCACAACACTTCGGCCAAGCATCCCTCCTCCTCGTCTCCAGAATTGGGGGAGTGGTGTTTGGATTCCAAAGTTAGAATTCTTCGAGTTTTCTAGCCAACAATTAAAGGACTACTCGGCGACAACCCACATTGCGCGGACCTCATATTCTAGCAAACACCGAGGAACATCAAGTGGACCGGATGCTCAACCAGACTTCAACTTGGAGTTCCTYAACCGAAGATTAAAGCATCCTACCATTCTACACCTTGGCCGAACACTTCATTACTCGACTTCAGAACTGGGGAAGTGGCGTTTGAGTCATGGCTGAGCTGGTCCTGAGAGACACGTGGCTGCCCAGTCATCGTCCAGCCACGTCGGCTTAGCTCGGTCGAGCTACGTTATTATTATGACCCCCCATCTTATCCTTTCAGCCACGTCAACTACACGACACACGGATGAACACAACTATGGATAAAGAGGAGTAAGGAAGACGACTCCGCTAGGGAATGGGACTCTATCCCGAATACCTTAGGGGCTAACCTCATCCTGACAATCCCAGAAGCCTAATCCAACCAAGACACGGATCTTCGACTATAAAAAGGTACTCCATGCTCAAGGTAAGGGATCCAACTTTTCACACCCGTACTGCTACTTAACTCGGACCAGCATCCTTATAGCTCAGGCTGACCATCTACTACCTCCTATTGACTTGAGCGTCGGAGTACTTACCCAGGGATAACTCCTCGGGCCTCTAACTTCTCCTTTCTTGGTTGTAGGTCTTGAAGCATGGCATTGTCCTTATAGCTTGGCCCCGCCCTGCCAGCAAAGACTATCTGGTCGCTCTCCTCAATTCGTGTACCACCTCGAATTGAGCAGCATCATATATATAATAAAACAAGGGGTAAGTATCCTAGTCTAATTATACACTTTTTTTTGGTTAATTACTTAAGTATACCAT